AACTACAGCAGCTGGGCAACCAGGTACACAAGGCAGCAGTTAACTGCCTGAGGGAGGTGAAGTTATTTGGAGTACAAAGAGAAGTTCAAAATGTGCAATCTATCTGGTTTTAGGTCAAAAAGATGATTTGCTTCACTGATCATACTTAGATTTCAATTATTTTGGTTTCTAATGTGAAATATATTCAAGACTCTTTTAAGAAAAAATATACAATATGCATATTTTGTCAAATCATGTGATATAACCCGTGGAAGCTGGATTAGCAAATTTACTTCTTTAGTAAAGGACCAGGGGTCCTCAAGTCCACCAGTCTTCCTTCTACCTTTATGTAGCCTTTTACTTTTGTGACTTTTAAATTTAGAACATGTTTTTAAGCACAAAAGTTCTGTTTAATAATTTTTTAACCTTAGTTTTAATCAGCTTGTGACTTCAATCACCTTATTTCTTACAATCCCCTCCCCTTTTTTCTATTTATAAAAGTAAATGTTGTTGTAAGAAATTCTCAGGAAATACTGAGTGGTATAAATAATAAGGAATCACCTGTAATTTCACCCTAAGATAAAATTATGGCTAAGATGCCTGTGTATAGCTTTCCAGACCTTTTAAAAATGAATATATTTATGTATGTGCATTTTTAATAAAAAATTGAAATATAATATACATATACACAACATATGTTGTTTAATTTTGGAATTCTCAGTTTACTATTTTTTCCCCATATAATAACTCTCTTAACGCCAAAATAGACCACAGCATCATTTTTAATGGATGCTAAGAATTCTGGTATACAGACGTAATTTAAGTGATCCGATATGCAGTATATTTTACCTTTAAGAATGGTAGGTTCACAACAAGAACTTGGACCTTTAAATCTTATGTCCAAATAGAAGACTTCTTCTCTAATAAAGATCATATAAAGATCCAGACTAAAAGGTTTCTTATGAGATTAAGTTTAAAAATACACCAACTCATAAAAAAATAAACCAACTCATCTTATTATTGTCTAACAATACATTTATAATTTCAACAGAATAATTTCAAATGATAATTCTTTTAAATAAATAAATGCATACCCATATACACAACGGGCAAGAATTTCTAGAGTGATTAGAATTGATGAAAAGTCCTTAACAATTCTATACACATTTTAAAAGTAGGCATGTGCCAAATAAAAGTATGCAGCTAAACTAGTTGTGTTAACAACTGAAGGCTTATTTTAAGCAAATCATACTTCAGAATCACATATTTTCAACCTAGATAAAGTTGCAAAAGTGGAAATATAATGCTTTTAACATTCTAATGTTCTATGTCTTTGAAAAACTATCTCTGCTGTTTTGAAACTCCTTTTCGAAGGCAAAGGGTATAAAAATATGTAAAGGGTTATTGGGAAATTATGTCCTTTAGGAACACTAAACACTCAGCATGTATAACCAGCAAATTTAAAAGTCAATTGAGTCATTAGGGAAATGCAAATTAAAGCCACAATGAGATGCTACCTAATATCCACTAAAATTGCCACAATAAAAAAACATAACAAGTGTCAGTGAGGATACTGAAAAATTGTAACATTCACACACTGCTGGTGAGAATGTAAAATGGTGCCACAACTTTGGAAAACAGCTTGGCAATTTCTTAAAACATTAAACATAAACTTAACCATACAGCCTAGTGGTTCCACTCCTAGGAATCTACCCAAATGAAAACACGCCCACACAAAACCTTGTATGTGAATGTTCACAGCAGCATTATTCATAATTGGCAAAGATGGGAAACAACCCAAATGTCTGTCATGGAATACTATCCAGCAATAAAATGGAATAAATTACTGATACATCCTACAGTATGAATAAACTTCAAAAACATACAAAGTACAAGAAGCCAAAAGCAAAAAACTACATATTGTGTAATTCCACTTACATGAAACATCCAGAAAAAGCAGCAAAATAAGTTTCTAACATCACCTTTTATTGAGTACCAATATATTCCAGTACTTTGTATCTTAAAGGAAAAGCTTAATTGGCAAACTTCAACATCATTGACTATCAATTTATATTTCAAAATTTTACTTTGCAGTTTTAACCAAAGAAATATAATAGTTTATATGCATTCAATGCTTTTTAATTCTTTCTCTTGCTGCTTGACTTTGGTGCTCAGGAGTGCTCAGGACTTATCTAGTTTATATGCATTCAATGCTTTTTAATTCTTTCTCTTGCTGCTTGACTTTGGCCTATTTTAATTATCTATTAAGTACCCCCACTCAAAACAGGCAAGGCAGGGGAACATAAATGTCAAATTCTGTAGTATAACAAATAGTGGTGATGAATGCTTAAATAACAAAATACTTTTTTAAACTATGCATTCCAGTGATCCATGGATAACCAAGACTTGGTGATAAAAAACAAGATGCATTCTAATTTCTCCCAATTCCCTTAAGGAACTCAGAAAAAGACACGTGTCCCAAGGACTACAGAAATAAGAATTGGTAATAGACTGCCTACTAAAAGCATATGTGTATAGGAAAGTTATTTTCTTTTAAACTCTACATTTGTTTTGCCAATAAAATGACATTTTGTTTTTAGTTTAGTATCCAGAGGCTTTCTGATGATTACAGTGTTTTAAAGGCCCCAAATTATATCTAAAATACAAAGTTAAGAATCAAAAAAAAAAAAAAAGAGGTTACAGAAGAGTCAGAAAATGTGAATTTATCTTCTGAGTCAGAACACTAACAAAATACTACTTAGTCCAGGAAATAGCTATTTTGTAAAATAAAATGTTTTCATGTATTACACTCTTTTCTTTCTTTTTTTTTTTTTTAAAGATTTTATTTATTTATTCATGAGAGACAGAGGGGGAGACAGAGAGAAGCAGAGGGAGAAGCAGGCTCCCAAGGAGCAGGGAGCCCGATGCGGGACTCGATCCCAGGACCCTGGGATCATGACCTGAGCCGAAGGCAGACGCTTAACCATCTGAGCCACCCAGGCGCCCCTACACTCTTTTCTGTAAAGCTGGTTAGTACTGTGCATTTTAAACTGTAACACTGAGATTCAACAAAAGATAAAGTAGGGCTAAAAGATATATTCTAACACTATAATTAGAAAACGTAAGAAATGGTGCTCAAAATGAAGAAGTTAAATGTGCTTCTGTATCAACCTTAACTGCAAAACTGAGGACAAGATGGAACACATATGCTCATGAGAGGGGCACAAAAGAATCCACTGGGGCGCATCTTAGATTTACTTTTTATTTCACCTTTTTTACAAAATTGTTGTATAAGGTACATAACATACTAAAAGTATATAATTTATAAGGAAATAGATGCTGGGTTATGTACTCAACATTTTATTACTGTTAAGATGTGTAACCGAAAACCACTCTTCTAAGGAACGGACTGACCAGTAGGGTTACTATTATGTCACATTAGAATTAAGTAGTCACATTTTTCCATTATTCTGTGATAACTTTGTACTGAATGGAGCAGCTCAGATACTTTACAGAAAGTATTATTACCAAGAGCAAACCTTTATAGTTTACAATGTTTTCATGTATGCCATCTCATGGAATACCCACAGCCATTTAGTATCATTACTAATTGATCTGACATATTCAGTAACAGTTTCTCGAAAGCATTTGTAAACACTAGTTGTATTTATTATTATTATAAGTAAACATTCGCTGTGAAGCTAATGAGAGGAGAAAATATTTTAAAGACTGTAAGTAAATTGAAGCACAAAGAAATATGTTTTAGAGGAGTTAATCCTCCACAAAAAAAAGTTTGGAAACCACTCAACAAGAACTATATAAAAGGACAGTTAACTCTCTGTCTCTTCCCGATAGCCTTTACTACCTTTTTTCTTTAGTTTTCAAAGACAAGCTTAGGGTCTTTTCAGCATAAACAAAGAAATGACCACCAGGGAAGTGAGGTTAAAGACTCTGCAATTACTCAACTGCAGAAAATTAAGGGTAGATTTAATAACTGACTCTCTATATAAGTTCCGTTTTATGGAGGAGAGTGCCAAGATTTACCAAAATTAAAATAAGAGGATACAAGTTTAAGCTGGCTACTGACAAAATTACTATAGAAAAAAAAAATCGTGAAATTTTTGAGTGAAAATTCAGAGGAAAACTTAAGGACCTCTATCAAAAGGAATTTTTGTAAATAGGATAGTTTCCTATTAAATGAGATTGGTTAAGTGTACCAAGGATGCCTGTAAGAGATCAAAAGTTTGATTGCAGTTCTTCAGAAGTATGCATCTGTGTATGCCACTAACTAAACTTCACTAATCTGGTAGCACCCCTCTCAATAAATTAATGCATTGTTATTTACCTTAAAGAAGCTGATTTCTTTTATCAAACTGAGGGATTGATAATGGTTAGGTTATTGGAATTAATAATCTTCATAATGAATGGCAGCAGGTAAAATTTAGATCAGAAGTTATCAGTTTCCAGTAAAGGAAATCTAATATGACTGCTACTGTCCAGCAAGTCTGTTACTTTGTTTTAAAGACATATGCTAATTTGTTACTGATTTATGTACCAAGGCAATGGGTACATTTATGAACGACAAAATGATAAAATGCCTAAGAAGCAATAAACCAAAAGTTAAGATTTAAAAGCATAAAAAAAGGGAGAAGCAGACTCCCCACTGAGCAGCAGGGAGCCCGATGCGGGACTCGATCCCGGGACTCCAGGATCATGACTTGAGCCGAAGGCAGTCGTTTAACCAACTCTGACCCTCCCCCCTCTCATGTGCTCTCTCTCTTTCTCACTTTCTCAAATAAATAAATAAAATCTTTAAAAAAAATCAATAAAAGTATAAAAAAAGACAACCATTTTCTCTTTGTTACAAATTCGACAATTTTTTAAAGACCTACGGAAATCTGGATGTATTACATTCTAAGAACCAAGAATACCGAGGGCATAAATTCAGGAATAAATCACAACATATCTCAAAGCTGTTTCAATACTTTGAATAGTTAAGAAAGGTTTAATTCTAACATTACCATTGGAGCAGGTGGTCGATTTGATGACTGTCCTTCACTGTTCCCTGCATGCTGGATTAACCCACTAGGATTTGAAGACTGTGTTAGAGGAAGCTGGGTACTGGATGCAGGTTGCTGAGATAATTCTACTTTGTAACTCTTATTTGATCCATCCAATCTGCTACTTCTCTCTATGGCAATCAGGTCACGAATTTTTTGCAGCTGCTCCACTGAAGCTTTTTTAGGAAAGATAAGATGTGTTTCTCCCTGGAATTTATAAAATTGGGAAAAATTTTAACCTTTGCTTTATACTGACATTCATATATATCTATAAAATGAAATCAATACCATAGAATACATCATATTTAACAATCATTCTGTTTTCCTACCATTATGGCACTTTTTTTTAAGTAGTTAAAGGTAAAAAGTGCCTATATATGAAACAAGAAGTTAAGAAAATTGGTCTCCTCCTTTGCATATAATGCTTAGCTTATTTGATTGGTTCAAAGGCTGTTAGAAAAATCTTTTCTTTTAGAAATAGTAAGTCACAAAGTCTCATAAGAATTATAAAAATGCACATTCCTATCTTCTCTGCAATAGTATATGATACTACTATTCTCTATGAAATTCCTTATGAAATAATAGTAATTACTAGAGATGCAGCCATACAAAATGATCCAGGGTCAAGAAGTTATATATATAACAACCTTTGAATCTCCTAAACCCAAGACTTTAAAGAATAGCTACATGATTAGAAGTTTGGATATAGGGTACACTAATTTTTCCAAGAAAACAAAAAGTACAGCCTGATGGTCAATTCAAAACTATGGATTGTTAACAGTAATACAAAGGTGGTCCAAACAAAACAAACAAAAATCCCGTTCTTCAAGTGGTGATTCATTTAATGAATACCCATCATATAATCAGAGTGCTTTACAATACAACAAACATTACAACAAAGCTCACAATGTAAAGTAGTCAGCAAATTACAAAACAAAAGTTAAATGAAAATATCTTCAATCAAGTTTCAAGGCATCGAGAAGTAACAGTGTTAAAATAATTATTTCCACCAACTGCATATGAGATAAAATGATTGTTAACGTGTAGTAGACAGACTTGCAGATTTTAAGCTTAATTTAAGTTAAGCTCCACAACTGAGAATGACCTATTTCCCTGGTGATGGCAGACCTATCAGAATCAACTGACCAACACATTTCTCACTAATGACATGAAAATTAATTCCATATGAATCCCTTTTAAAAAGCCAGAAGAGGCCATTAAGCTCTATATATTCATTACCCATAATAGCTGTAAAAACAAAACTATCATTTATTGTGTTCATGTGTTCTAGGTGCTATGCTAAACATTTTATGTATGTTATCTCAAGTAATTCTCACAATCACCCTGAAATGTAGGTATTATTAGGCTTATCACTATTCTTTATATGAAAATATAAAAGCTCAGGAAAGTAAAATAATCTGCCTGATGCTACAGAATAATTGTTGGAGTAAACTTTAATTGTTAAGCTAAAACTGACTACATCTTAGACTGAACAGAGACCAAAAACCATAAGCTTGTACTAATAGTTGGAAGTGTTGAGCAAAAAGAGAGTATTTCTACAGCTATGATAATGACATATATGATTAGCATTGGATCGCAATGATTTTCCAACATTAGAAAGGAACCACCTCACATCTCTGATGAGGTTTCTCTTTAGAAACCAGATATCTAGGTTAAAACCAAATACAGAGGCTTCCCATCTCATACCGTTAGTTGAGCAGCACTGAGAGAGGTAGAAGACACCATGGGCCAAGGTGGAAATCCAGCATAACAGCTATCTGGATCTATGTTCAGTCCATATCACAGAGAAGGCCCTGATAAGACAGAGATGCTGCTTGTGCCTTGCTCCCTTCCCTTCTAACTTTTCAGGACCAGTCCTAAAAAAATGCAGGATTATGGCCAAAGTGTCTATACCAAAAAGTTTCATCCACAGCACTGTATTTTCACAAAAGGACAAAATTACAGGCTTAATGCACTAGATACAATAACACTTTAAGAAATTAATGAGAATTCCAGTATTTAACAAAATCCGTATTTCTCAACACATTTTTGCTAAGACAATTCTCACTGTCAGATGTTAAGCAAACCTGGCTCCTGCCCACTAAATGCTGGTAATATCTTTCAGTCACCAAAACAACCAAAACTGCCCTCTTCCTATGGTACCTGATGAGAACCACTCCACTCAGGAAGCCGGAGGAGTTGCATATCCATGCAGAGCCCAGTCTTTCTTAACCTCCTTCTCAAAATTTTCACAAAGAATGTAGCCTCAGAGGCAAGTAGGCCCCAAAGTACCCAGGATTTTAATATATACCTGAACATTTTGGGGATGGGTCTGAGATTCCTACTTCATCTTAAAGCCTACTGAGTTTCTTTCTAATGGTAGAGTTCAATTGCAGTTCCATTGGTTCCTTCTGCAACTTAGCCACACTGATAAAACATTTATTGCAGGGGCGCCTGGGTGGCTCAGTTGGTTAAGCGACTGCCTTCGCCTTAGGTCATGATCCCAGTGTCCTGGGATCCAGCCCCACATCAGGCTCCCTGCTCCTCGGGGAGCCTGCTTCTCTCTCTCCCTCTGCCTGCCGCTCGCCCTGTTTGTGCTCTCTCTTGCTCTGTCAAATAAATAAATAAAATCTTAAAAAAAAAAAATTATTGCAGATGGGTCCTGAGGTGCAAAGTCTAAAGACAATCAGAAATTTGAAGTATAAATCAGTCTGATCAAAGCATGTTAATCTTTTCTGAAATTGTTGCTCCATTTGTGTCAAATACTACTGCAAGTCTCAATCTGGCTTGTTACCTGACACTGGTGTGCCCAACCTTTGGGTCTCCTGAGATGGGTTTACTAGAATGTGGGATTTTGAGTACTAAACCCAGGACAGCCCCAGGCAAACTGGGATGGTTGTCACCACACCCGGCACTCAAATATTCATTGAATGAAAAGACAAATATGACTCCACAGAATATGTGACACTTCAAAACTGAGAAATCAGTTTCCAGTTGTCATTTACTAAATTTTTCTGTCATTTAACTCAAAAGTCTGTATTTCCTTGAACAAAATCAGCAATGTTCTCAATTTTTCCTTCTATCTTTTTAAGTTCTTTATGTTCAGATGTCGGTAACTAACAAGCAGATGACAACATAATTTATACCTCCAGGCTGACCTCTTTTTTTTTTTTTTATTGAACAATTTATCTTTTTATTTTTTTTTAAAGATTTTATTTATTTGAGAGAGAGAGAATGAGAGACAGAGAGCACGAGAGGGAAGAGGGTCAGAGGGAGAAGCAGACTCCCCGCTGAGCAGGGAGCCCGATGTGGGACTCAATCCCGGGACTCCAGGATCATGACCTGAGCCGAAGGCAGTCGCTTAACCAACTGAGCCACCCAGGCGCCCTGACCTCTCCTTTTGAGTTACAGACTCATACATCCAACTGCCTACTTGTTATCTCTACTTGAATGGTTAACAGTATATTGGTTATAATCATCCAAAATGAGGAAGCAGTGATTTCTCCTGGCATCTGCTACACTCCAAGATTTCTCAATCTGAATTAATGGTACTTGCATCCACTTAGATGCTCAAACCAAAACCTAGTAGTATCCCTGATTCCTTCCTTTCCCTACCCCACAATCAATTCATCAAGTCCTGCAGGCTCTGCTTAAAAAAAAAATTCTAGATGTCTCTACTTTTCCCCCATCTCCACTGCTATCAGTCTTTAATTCAACAAATGTTTACTGAGTGCCCCAATGTATTCTAGGAGCTAGCAAGAGGGGACAAAAAGATAAAAGGCTCTGCCCTCATGGAACCATTTTCAAACCATTTTTGTTTCTCCTTTAGGCTGATAAAAGCTTTCTAACTGGTCTCACTGCTTCATCTCTTGCCTCCATCCCAGAACATCCAGAACATTCACTTTACAACAGCTAAAATATTACTCCATGTCTAGAACCTTCCTGTGGTTTCCATCTCACTTAGAATGAAGTCCAAGTCTTTATCACAGTCCTCAAAACCGCACACCCTGGATTCTGCTGGCCTGTGTAGCTACTATCTGTGCCAAAGCTAATCCTGCTAGAAGTCTGTTGCATATGTGAATCCTTCTGTTTGAAGCACTCTTACCTGAGGGCTTCAGGTATCTGAAATGCTTTTCATTTAGGTCCCAGCTCAAATATTATCTCCTGAGAGGCCTTCCCTAACCACTCATTCTTACGTAGCTGCCCACCTCTACAGCTGCTTTTTAGTATATCACCATGCCGTATTTTCCTCTTTGCACCCTTCCTTGCTTTCCTGTCTACTGTTTGTCTAACCTATTAGAACCAGGCTCCATGTGAGATGGGATCTATTTCTCTAGTTCACTACTATACCCTTCAGGGCCTGGGACAGAATCTGGGAAGAAAAGCAGAGAGGCAGGAAGGAAAGTACTTCTTATGGCAACTCAGCAGATCTCTTTAACAATTTCTATAGCCTTGATATTTCTGACTGCTATGGACTAATGTGTATCCACAACCTGGTTCAAGTTCTTTCAGTATTCCATAAACTAGAAATGATTAAGCATATATACATAAAGAAAATTGACAATATTGATAACTACTTTCATTGTGTCATAAAATTAAGCTATGTACTGGGGCGCCTGGGTGGCTCAGTTGGTTAAGCAGCTGCCTTCGGCTCAGGTCATGATCCCAGAGTCCTGGGATCGAGCCCTATATCGGGCTCCCTGCTCTGCGGGGAGTCTGCTTCTCCCTCTCTCTCTGCCTACTTGTGCTCTCTCTCTCTCTGTCAAATAAATAAATAAATCTTTAAAAAATTTAAAAAAAAAAGCTATGTACAAGATTCCAGAAGATGAAAACACCAAGCTTTTATTTTGACTAAAAAACAAAAAACATACTGAGATTCTTCACTTCTGTCACAGAAGAAATCCCTTACATGTGGCAATTGAACTCAGCTTTTCTGTATTTACTCTTTTCATTTCTTCCTGGAGACAGATGGCTAGATCCTACTAGAATTCGTGTGTACTTACAAATCAGATTTTCGCAAAGTCTAAAATGGTCTTTGGACCACAATTTGGTCTTTGGGTTGTATGTCTGACCTCCCTGTTCTGAAGGATTAAAACTTGTAAGAATTTTCCCTGTGGGAGAGTTGTTATATTCTCCTGTGATTTTAAAATATATTTACTGTGATTTTTAAATGTCTAATAGGTGAAGAAGTAACTAGTTCTGCAGATTTCCAAAACGATCAATTTAAAAATATTATCTTATTTAGATAATTATCCATCAACATTATAATAAATTCTTTATACATGAACCGGGGAGAAGAAACCCTTCAACTTACCTCTTCAAAGCCCATTTCAAATAAACATTCAACGGCTCCTCTGACAGGTAAGAGTCTGGTAGAAAAAGCTGTGTTTCCAATCCGGATAGATCTATATTTTTCATCATTAGGGTTTCTGATTTAAATAAAAAAAGTTTGATTATATATAACAATTTATACTTTCACAGTGTTTTTGCACTCCTTTTTACATTTTATATTGGCTACACTGCTACAAGGTATTACAGTTCCCAACTTTAAAGAAAGAGGAAGCACAGTCCGGAAAAATAGCCTGATTCTGTGATTCTTACCTCAATATACATTTACTACCACCTTACTGTTTAATTTCATAGCTGATAATATTAATGCTTCCATAAGAGAAACCCATGCAACATTTTCATTCTATGCTATTAAAGCCACATACCTTTTGAGTTTTTAGGTTGCTAAGAAAAAAACCTAGGTAAGCTCCAGACATGGGTGTAGGTTTTGCCTATTTTGTTCTGATGGATCTCAATCAAGAATGGTGCCTGATGCATAGATGATAGTTAACAAATACTTGTGAAATGCATGAATAAAAAAACACTAAGAAGCTATATAAAAATGGATCACAGTTCCTCAAACACTTTACCTCTGACAAATACAAACCCAGGTATACCTTAGAGTCACTTGATTTTCTTTCTTCCCTAGACCAATGATTGCTTTTACTCTTAAGTTCTGTTTCATCTTAAGATGTATTTCTGTCACAGCCAATTTTTTTTCTACCATGATTAAGATTTTGAATAGCCTACATGGGATGACACCAGCATATGCAAAGCTTTGAAATTTTTAATAACCTTGATAAATCAGAAAGGCTGTTTTAAAAAAAATCAGAAAAAAAATACAAGGTTAAGATAATCACAGTATTGGGGCACCTGGGTGGGACCGCCAGTTAAGCATCTGCCTTTGGCTGAGGTCATGATCTCGGGGTCCTGGGATCAACGTCGGGCTCCCTGCTCAGCTCAGCGGGGAGTCTGCTTCTCCCTCTCCCTGTGATCCTCCTCCTTGCTCATGTTCTCTCTCTCAAATAAATTAAAATTAAAAAAAAAGATAATCACAGTATTACACTCAAAAAGCCTTCCGAACATAATTAGGATGATGAGTAATTTTTTTATATGATTTTATTTGTCAGAGAGAGCATGCACAAGCAGGAGGAGTGGCAGGCAGAGGGAGAGGTAGGCTCACCGCTGAGCAAGGAGCCTGATGCGGGACTCGATCCCAGGACCCACGCATCATGACCTCAGCCAAAGGCAGACGCTTAACCAACTGAGCCACCCAGGTGTCCTGAGGAGCAGATTTCATATCTGACCCAAACTCCCTCACAATAGTAGTGGCGTCTATTAGCACTATTTTAAGGATTCTGAGGCTGTGTCAGGGTTCCATAGGAAGGAGTGCTGAGGCCATCTGCCTGGGGTATGGAATGGGGATGGTGGACAAAGGCTAGCAGCTCACTAACCATTCTTGTCCTAATTTAACTGTGGAAATTTCAACATATTTCAATTTGTTTTCCATCAAGCAACTCTCTATTGCCAAACTGTCATAAATACACAAATCTTCTTTAAACTTTTCCTTAATTTAAAAAATTATGCAAGTTTAGTACAGAATATTCAGAGATAAAGCTCTAAAATAATGTTATTCAAAATGTCCACAGACTGGTGCCCATCTATAAACTCCTTGCTAGTCATTCACGAGAAGTGCAGAAATTGAGACTACTCAGCAATTTTTCTAACAATTTGATTTGCCATGAAATTTTTATTGTACTTTATATAAGTTACAGATCCACAAAAAATTGGAAATTAAAAACAAAAACACTGTTCTTCAACACAGGTCTTTTGAGCATCACAGGTGGTTGAAAAACACAAAGAAAAATATATGCTCTATTCTTTTATTCTGTGTTTTAAAATGAGAGTTTCTCAACCTTGGCATTATTGACATTTGAGGTCTTTGTTGTAGGGGACTGCCCTGAGCACAGCAAGGTATTCACCAACCCTGGCTTTTATGCCACATTATATCATAAGTGTGCCTCCTTTTCTTACCACTTAAACAAAAAACATTAAACTATACAATACTCCTACATTTATCAATGTCAGTTATAGATAAATGAAGCATCTTTTCATGATATTCAACACATTTCACAGGGTCATAAACATTAGTACCACTAGGATGATACAATCTACTGGTGCAAAACTCACTGATTTTTTTTTTTTTTTAAACCTGTTTTTTCCCCAATAGCTTCCAGATTTTTACATGATCAAAGTCTTTCTCTGGCTTTAATTTTCTAGTTTTCCCTCCCTCTTTCACCACTGTTTAAAAATTCTTATAAAACCTAGACTAGCTGATCTGATACAGCTTATTATTTTGATACATGTTTCAAAGTAACTCTTGATACAGCTTTTCTGCTCTAGTCTAGTCAGCAATTTTCTACCTTTTAACATCTATGGGCCTTACATACCATTTATCTGTTTTTCTCACTAAAAACATAATGCAAACAAACAAAAAAACCAACAGTAATGTCCAGTTACCCAAATCCTATCTTCCTCTTTTTAAATATGTTGAGCACACCAGCCATAGCACTATACACACAATAGTGCCAAAAGTTTGTCCTGAAGCCCTCACAGGCTTAGAGAACTGGGCCATAAAGCCATTAGAGCTCAAACCCAACAGATCCCATTTCCTGCCCTTGGAAAAGTACCACTTTCTAAATCTCTAGCTTCACAGCATCATCCCAGCGTATCCACCATCTTTGAACTCATTAGTATTCTCCTTATCTTGCAGTGTCTAAAGTACCTCTAAGGATCACATTTTTGCTTCATTTTCTTCTTCCATTAACTTAATTTCCTCTGCAGACTTTTCTCAAATATTTTTTTGCTGTAATTCTTCAATGTGCTTTTTCTACCTCTGCTGACCCTTAACTATTTCTGCAACTTGTAATATTTATCTTGCTTGTTAGCAATAATTTTGCACTCTATTTTTTTTTTTTTTGGTTGTTTGTTGGATGATGTTGAAAGAATGGGACCTTGAATGGGCAGCAAAATGTCCTGACCCACTCACCACCACTTTGAACATATTTTGGTGTCTTCCTAGTTGTCTTTGTTTTTATAATTGAATGGTAAAAAAAAAAAAAAAGTCATGCTTTTCACCTTGAAAGTTAGAATCAACCATATAATTAAGATCTTAAGACACACTGGGGCACCTGGGTGGCTCAGTCAGTTGAGGGTCCGGCTCTTGGTTTCAGCTCAGGTCATGATCTTGGGATCATAGGATTTAAGCCGCATGTCAGGCTCTGTGCTCAGCATGGGGTCTGCTTGGGATTCTTTCCCTGTTCCTTTCCCTTCTGAGTCCCAGCCCCCAGCCCCTGCTCTCTAAAATGAATGAAAAAACAAAATCTTTTAAACAAAAAAAAAAGATTTTTGTTTAAAAGATTTTATTTATTCGAGAGAGAGAGCACACATAAGCAGGGGGAATAGCAGAGGGGGAGGGAAAAGCAGGCTCCCTGCTGAGTAGGGAGCCCTATGCAGGGCTTGATGAAGGGCTTGATCCTAAGACCCTGGGATCATGACCTGAGCCAAAGGCAGACACTTAACTGACTGAGCCACCCAGGCACCCCCAAAAGATTTTAAGACATGTAGCTTCCTACTGAGGTCACAGACTCAGAAAAAAGAAAAACTTAAAATGTTTCTATTTCAGAATTTCAGAAATGCTGATAATTAAATCTATCTAACCATTTACTAGCCCTCTACCTCTTTAGAATGCATAATCTCAGAAAGGGTTTACATAAATGGAAATTTAGTACATGAGAGATCCTATAATCTTGTATTTTTATTACTAATCAAAAAGGTGGTTTGTAGGCCATTTACAAAAATATTTCTGGTCCTTCTGAAAATCTATTATTCTGAGATACATGTCAATTTTTCAAAAACATCTTTAGAACCATCTGGGAACCATCTCTGGCTCTAACTCTACCATTCTATATAGCTGACAAAAATGGAAACATACACATAATCTAGCTTGTTCAACATGAAAAACTGAATAATGGCAACAACAGATAACGTGTGTGCCTTCATTTCTCTTTTGCAACAATCCTATAATGCAGGCATTTCTCTTTCCTCTTAAAAATGAGGAAACTGAAAAAAAATGAGGAAACTGAAACCCAGAAACTTCACATAAATTGCCTATAACCACACTCCTAGGAAATGGTTGACTGCGATTTAAACCCACTGATCTTATTACAAAGCTTACATACTCCCCACCATACAATATGCCAACACACTCACCAATCCTCTCTAAATTTCTCCAGTTGTCAACAGTCACCTAGATTAGAAACCTGAAGTTATTTGGGTTATTTCGTCTCCTCTCTTTACCGGCTCTACTCCTTGCATTTAGTCATCAAGAACTGCCAATCCCTGCCTCCGATACTTCTTTCTCTATTCTATCCCCATTTATGCTTATGATTACTGTAATAGCTTCACAAATGAAACCCATGCCCTGTGTCTTCTTACACCATTATTCTACATGAAATTCCTTCATGTTTCTCTTTGACTCTAGAAAGTACAATCATTTTCTCTTGCCTCTTATGTCAAATATATGTTCTCTGCTAGTCCACGAACCCATCCCATCTTACCAAACCTCCATTCTCAAAAGTCTTCCACACTAGGTCCCTGGGCTAGCTCCACACATAAACATGTAACTGCTTGAACACTGTCTTCCAATTGTTCTCTAGATTTTATGCTGTGGCTATTTTCCATACTTGTGTCTTTCTCCTAAACATACTTATTTTCTTGGAAGAAACCACTTTCCGTTCTTGGCCCTTCCCAATCATATGCAGTGCAGTTTGTAACCAATAACGGTGTGCAGTTTGCAAAGGAAATTAGTGGAACATCAAACATATTTTTTTTTTAAAGATTTTATTTATTTGACAGAGAGACACAGTGAGAGAGGGAACACAAGCAGGGGGAGTGGGAGAGGGAGAATCAGGCTTCCTGCCGAGCAGGGAGCCCGATGTGGGGCTCGATCCCAGGACCCTGGGATCATGACCTGAGCCGAAGGCAGACGCTTAACGACTGAGCCACCCAGGCGCCCCATCAAACATATTTTTTAAAGAAT